TAGCACAAACTCAGGAATATTTAGCTTTTTATTGAGCCTAGGATCTCTAGCTTTCATTACTACGGATATATCGTCGAAAGTATAGGCTCTGTTTTCGATTATATCCTGTGAGGCAATCAGGAGAGAAGCTAGATTAACATCTTTCCCTTCTAGTATGTCTCTTTTCAAATTTTGTGGTATCAAATGTACTGGGTTGATGATATTAGATGTTTTAGCAGGAAATGGATTGGAGTTACCTCCTGAGCTTGTTTGGGTAGTCCTAGTGGAACTTGTACTTCAGGAATGCTAGTTTGACTAGTGGCTTCCAGGTTATCTAACCTGTTGTTTATAGTAGCTACTGAAGCCACCAGAGAGGTCATCATACTTTGTAAATCTGCCAAACTATTTTGAATTGTACAATCAGAACTAGGGCCTGGTAACTCATGAACGTTTTGGGAATTTAATAAATGGAAGAGTTCGGCTTTCCTGGCAGTAGCCGTAAAGGGGATGTTTCTTCGATTTAGTTCTGCTATGATTTTTGGAACCGTCCAGGATCTGTAGCTGGATATCGTACTAGATTGTCTTGGTTGATTGCCAGGTCTGGAGGGAGTGCTGGCAAGTGAAAGCTCTTTGTCTCGAACTGAAGCGTTAGACATGCTATGGGCGTGAAAGGAGATTTTTTTTTTATGTGTGTGCGCAAATTTGAGTGTGTGTGCGGCAAAGCAATTACACTAGGTTGGTGACAGGTGAGGCCCTACTAGGTGCGGCTTGAGAGGCTCTATCTATGAGTTGGCGCGAGGGGATTTCGTGGCCACCGAACGTTGTGGCGGGGTGTTGGCCTCTCGGTGAATAGTAACCATAAGATAGAATGGGAGTGACAGGTGAGGCCCTTTCTATGCCACGTGCGAGGCGTCTACCTATGATTTGGCGCGAGGGGCATAGTACCTCTGAATTGAGGATGGGTGTTGGCCTCGCAAGACCACTAACCCAAGGTGAAGGAGCCGGGAGGAGACTTCTAATTCCCTGACAGCCAGCTACGACTAAACTGGAACAGAAAATAAATGGGAGACTGAACGTATTGTTTGAATTGCTCATTATCCTTACCTGTACGAGAATTTGTGCCCAGTACTTGAAATGACCTAAGGATCTAAAGTGTCTGTAAAACCGGGTGGCTTTACTCAGGCTGACGCCCCTAGTTTGCAGAGAATGTACACAGGAGGAGGGATGGGGGAGAGAAAAGAGAGAAAACAAATACAGGGAGTGCAGAATTATTAGGCAAATGAGTATTTTGACCACATCATCCTCTTTATGCATGTTGTCTTACTCCAAGCTGTATAGGCTCGAAAGCCTACTACCAATTAAGCATATTAGGTGATGTGCATCTCTGTAATGAGAAGGGGTGTGGTCTAATGACATCAACACCCTATATCAGGTGTGCATAATTATTAGGCAACTTCCTTTCCTTTGGCAAAATGGGTCAAAAGAAGGACTTGACAGGCTCAGAAAAGTCAAAAATAGTGAGATATCTTGCAGAGGGATGCAGCACTCTTAAAATTGCAAAGCTTCTGAAGCGTGATCATCGAACAATCAAGCGTTTCATTCAAAATAGTCAACAGGGTCGCAAGAAGCGTGTGGAAAAACCAAGGCGCAAAATAACTGCCCATGAACTGAGAAAAGTCAAGCGTGCAGCTGCCACGATGCCACTTGCCACCAGTTTGGCCATATTTCAGAGCTGCAACATCACTGGAGTGCCCAAAAGCACAAGGTGTGCAATACTCAGAGACATGGCCAAGGTAAGAAAGGCTGAAAGACGACCACCACTGAACAAGACACACAAGCTGAAACGTCAAGACTGGGCCAAGAAATATCTCAAGACTGATTTTTCTAAGGTTTTATGGACTGATGAAATGAGAGTGAGTCTTGATGGGCCAGATGGATGGGCCCGTGGCTGGATTGGTAAAGGGCAGAGAGCTCCAGTCCGACTCAGACGCCAGCAAGGTGGAGGTGGAGTACTGGTTTGGGCTGGTATCATCAAAGATGAGCTTGTGGGGCCTTTTCGGGTTGAGGATGGAGTCAAGCTCAACTCCCAGTCCTACTGCCAGTTCCTGGAAGACACCTTCTTCAAGCAGTGGTACAGGAAGAAGTCTGCATCCTTCAAGAAAAACATGATTTTCATGCAGGACAATGATCCATCACACGCGTCCAAGTACTCCACAGCGTGGCTGGCAAGAAAGGGTATAAAAGAAGAAAATCTAATGACATGGCCTCCTTGTTCACCTGATCTGAACCCCATTGAGAACCTGTGGTCCATCATCAAATGTGAGATTTACAAGGAGGGAAAACAGTACACCTCTCTGAACAGTGTCTGGGAGGCTGTGGTTGCTGCTGCACGCAATGTTGATGGTGAACAGATCAAAACACTGACAGAATCCATGGATGGCAGGCTTTTGAGTGTCCTTGCAAAGAAAGGTGGCTATATTGGTCACTGATTTGTTTTTGTTTTGTTTTTGAATGTCAGAAATGTATATTTGTGAATGTTGAGATGTTATATTGGTTTCACTGGTAATAATAAATAATTGAAATGGGTATATATTTGTTTTTTGTTAAGTTGCCTTATAATTATGCACAGTAATAGTCACCTGCACACACAGATATCCCCCTAACATAGCTAAAACTAAAAACAAACTAAAAACTACTTCCAAAAATATTCAGCTTTGATATTAATGAGTTTTTTGGGTTCATTGAGAACATGGTTGTTGTTCAATAATAAAATTAATCCTCACAAATACAACTTGCCTAATAGTTCTGCACTCCCTGTAGGTAGTAGACTGATTAGTTTTTTGTTTTTTTTTAATATGTATAAATTATGTGATTAATTGTGCTTATATTAATATGATTTGTGACTTGTCTCTGGTTCTGAATATTTATGAACCTGTTGTTGATACTGTATTTATTAGTTTAACGGAGTGAAAGAAGGAAGAAGGAGAGAAAGAAATCTTGAACGGATTATTACTAACCGAACCGTATTTGTGTAACTCAGCGTAATTGATACCAAACTTTTTTCCATGCGTTTTTTTATCCCTAGAATGAAAGGAGAACAATTTACCAGGAAACTCCTTGACTTGATACGTTAGCAACGACTTGAGCTGATATACGAAATGCATATATACAATGTATAAGCCACTCCATGATATCTTAGTTTTAAGACTCTATCTTAGTTTTGGGAAGTATGAAATCCATATGAGTGTGGCTATTCAAATTGGAAGTGTCTGTAAAGATATGTCAGCCGATTGCATGCAGCCTGCTTAGATTGCTGAATATGCTGTGCTGATAGAGTTGAGCATCTAGCAAGACAGTACATAGTATTACATCTACAGAGGAAAACAGTGCCTTAGAAGAATACGAGTTATCTGTGTACTCAAAACAGAGATCATTGTGTATTCACTAGGCTTCCTGGAGAACCCAGGCACCGCAGCCTCGAAAGACTGAGGGTTCCCAACTCTCCAGGAATGCCAATCAAACACGGGAACTAGGTCAGGCAGCACACTTTCGATCCAGCTATGCCACCAACGTATATTCGCATATATTGCAAAGGCACCCCGGAAAAGCCGTGGGAACACAAACCTTAACTCTGGTTATTTTATTCTTTAGGACATGTTACACTGTACCAAATATAACTTAATTTCAGTGAGAATCATTTGTTTTTTTAAAACTTGCTCCAATTGTATACTTGCTGAGCTCAGTACTGCACGAGATATTCAAGCTGAGAAATTGCCATGAGCCATTTAATGCGTAAGATTTAGCCGAACCGAATGCAGGTTTTGAATCAATGAACATACAAATGAATGGTGTTAGAACTTGTTTCTATGCAATGTATTATGTGAATGTTCTTGCGAACGTTTTGCCGGATGATTAGATTCGAAAGGTTACATGAATTCGAATTTTTGAGACTTAGTTATGCTGGCTTGTCGATTGCCGTTCGTGTTTTTTTTACTCACGAATTTGCGTGGAAGTTCCTGATCGTCGTTTAGGCACGTCGCTGTAAAATTACGTCAGAGGTCTGCATGAACCGGAAGCGAAGAGAATTTCCGGAATCGATGAAGACAGGTAAGCCTGGGGTTTGCTGGGTTTATATAGGCCTAAATCCCTCCCACAACTACAGGCATACGCCTTCTATATATATATATATATATATATATATAGATAGATAGATAGATAGATACACACACTTTTATTTCCTATATATTGTAACAGAGTGTTGGGGATGGTGGTCAGGGGTGTATATCTGGCACCCAGACTTTTGCACAGCCACTATCCTGACATGTGGGTAAGCACATGCAGCCCCAGGGAAAGTTAAGTTTAAATGTAGTTTTTTTTCCTCTGTTATTTGGGTCCCTGGGGTGGAGTATTCGGAAGAGCAGGGTGGGCCGATTCTCCACCCACTGTCAGAGTGGTTGTGCATGAGTCCAGCCCAGGTTTCCCATAGAGCTCTGGCTCACTGCCTAACGAGGTCATTAGCCTCACCTGTAGGGGCTGTGAGCAGCTATATAACTGCAGTTAAAGCAGGGTGAAGTGAGGGAAGTGTTTTGGAGGAGAAAGAAAGTGTTTTGTGGAGAAAGAAGATTTGCTGTTCATTGTATCCTGTTACTTCACAACAACAGAAAATAAACAGGCCAGAGGCCCTTTTGAAACTGGACTTTGTCTTGACCTGGTTTTGCTACATTAGCAGCTCCTTTAACGGATCTCACAAAAGGTAAAGCCCCACTAGTGGTTAAGTGGTCAGTAGAGGCAGAAAAATCGTTTGTAACTTTGAAAGAGGCTTTGTGCACCCAACCGGTTCTGGTAACCCCGGATTTCACTAAAGAGTTTATTGTCCAAACCGATGCATCAGAGCTTGGGTTAGGGGCAGTTCTGTCTCAGGAAATTCAGGGTGAAGAACACCCAGTGTTTTATTTAAGTAGGAAGCTGACTCCCGCTGAGAAAAATTATTCTATAGTGGAAAAGGAATGCCTTGCCATAAAATGGGCCTTAGACTCATTGAAATATTATCTGCTGGGTAGAAAATTTAGGTTGGTCACAGACCATGCCCCCTTAACCTGGATGAGTCAAAACAAAGATAATAATGCCAGGGTGACAAGGTGGTTCCTCAGTTTACAACCATTTCATTTTACAGTTGAACATAGGCCAGGGTCTAAACATGGAAATGCTGACAGTTTGTCGCGAGAAAATTTGTTTTCTGTGGTCGCTCACCCCACTAGGTCTGAGCTGGGGGGGAGGATATGTAACAGAGTGTTGGGGATGGTGGTCAGGGGTGTATATCTGGCACCCAGACTTTTGCACAGCCACTATCCTGACATGTGGGTAAGCACATGCAGCCCCAGGGAAAGTTAAGTTTAAATGTAGTTTTTTTTCCTCTGTTATTTGGGTCCCTGGGGTGGAGTATTCGGAAGAGCAGGGTGGGCCGATTCTCCACCCACTGTCAGAGTGGTTGTGCATGAGTCCAGCCCAGGTTTCCCATAGAGCTCTGGCTCACTGCCTAACGAGGTCATTAGCCTCACCTGTAGGGGCTGTGAGCAGCTATATAACTGCAGTTAAAGCAGGGTGAAGTGAGGGAAGTGTTTTGGAGGAGAAAGAAAGTGTTTTGTGGAGAAAGAAGATTTGCTGTTCATTGTATCCTGTTACTTCACAACAACAGAAAATAAACAGGCCAGAGGCCCTTTTGAAACTGGACTTTGTCTTGACCTGGTTTTCTTACCCTAGAGGGCTGTGCGGTTGCCAAAAGATCCTGGACAAACACACACAGGAAAGTAAGTTTGTCACAATATGTATAATATATTACTACGACCATAGGAAGGGAACCCGGTCGATAAGTGAGGAATGTCTATATGTGTAATATATTATAAAATAATTAAATCATTTTATAATATAGTATACATATATAATGCATCTATATAATTTCATTATAAGTGTATTTTGAGATACATATCAAAGTACACTTATAATTAAATCATATAGATGCATTATTTATGTATAATATATTATAAAATTATTTAATTATTTTATAATATATTACACATATATAATATAGACACTCCACACTTATCGACCGGGTTCCCTCGGACGTTAAGTGAGGAGTTAAGGGATTCCCTGCTCTGGTGCATTTCCCCGAACATAGACGTACGCACCAGAGCAGGGAATCCCTCTAATTTCCCCGAACATAAATTTGAGTGATTCCCTGCTCTCGTACGTTCGTCTATGTTTGGGGAAATTTCCCCAACATAGATTTGAGGGATTCCCTGCTCTGGTGCATTCGTCTATGTTCGGGGAAGTTTTCCCGAACATATTCATATGCACCAGAGGAGGGAATTCCCATGATGGCTTGCACTAACGCCTGGTCGTAAGTGCGAGCCGTGGTAAGAGGTAGGTCGCTAAATGAGGACCACCTGTATATGTATAATATATTTATTTTATTATTTTTTTAGCAGCCTGGGGGACTGCCTGACAGCTCAGACAGTCCTCCTGCTGGCAGCTCCTAGAGTCCTATTGCAGTGATGTGATCATGGTGATCCCATGGCCATGGAGGGCCAGCAGCTGCTGTAGGGGGACTGCTGGGGTCTCTGGCAGTCCTCCCCGACTGTGATCGACGCAGATCGTCGGTCTAGGGCTTCTATTGCGGACGTCCTGTCGCGGACGTCCTTAACAACCGTTTTTTGTTGGACATACCTAGTTGGTCCTCGGTCGTTATGACGTTATATATGAGATACATTTATACATATATAATATATATATACACGTATTATATATAAAAAATATAGGAACTTTTGCACTCCTACCTCCAGCCAATGATACCGTGATACCTGTGATACAGGAAACAAACGATTGCCAGCACTTCTGGATTTCCAATATCAAAATACTTTATTGTCAAGGCGTATTATATATAGATATAATATATGTGTGTATATATATATACATATATATACTTTTTTTAAAATTAATTAACTATATATTTTTTTTTTTTTACTTTCATTTAACTTTTACACCAGCAGGGGGATTGCCTGTCAGTTCAGGCAGTTCCCCTGCTGGCAGCACAATGGACACCTATGGGGGTCATGTGACTGCTCTTTTAGAGCTGTCACATGGCCCCTGGGGTTCCTAAATTGGAGAGGCTCAGTCCAGAGAGTGGGGGAACACGGCGATCGGTAAGTACATGGGGAAGGGGGGAGGGGGGGAAGGGGGAAGGGGAGAGGGGGGAGGGAGGGAAAGGGGGGAGGGAGGGGAAGGGTAAATTTTTTTTATTATTTATTTATTTATTTTATTTTATTTCTTTATTTTTTTAACTGTTAAGTGTAAGAGCATCTGAAGCCTGCAGATGGCTTCAGATGCTCTCCCTACACTGCCGGGCACCACGTACGGCAAACCCGGAAGTGTAGGGGGTATTACATGAACGCTTCCAGCGCTCAAAATAGCCGTGGATGTACCAGGTACTTCCGAGGTCCTTAAGGGCTGTTTTTTGTCGGACATACCTGGTACGTCCGCGGTCGGGAAGGGGTTAACCTCCTAATGAATGGTTTCACATTTAGCTGCAGTCCTTCTCATGGCTTTCTAGTACTGCATTCATTAAGTCCTTTAAGAGAGTGAATAATGGAATCACCTGCCCAAGGCTTGCTGTGGCTTGACTTAAATTGTCTGTGACATCCTTGAAAGGCTTAAGGACTGCCACTTTCTGACCTATATCTCCCCATTCATGTCTCCTCAGTGGACATGTCACTCCTACGTTCATATGTGATGATAAGGAATGTATTGCTCTGTGACAAACTCCCCTTTCCAGGTGCTTGCCAGCCACCTGCCCACAGACTATGGATCCCAGGAAATATAATGTAAAAGTCTCAGTTCGTGTATTTGGACTATATGGTTGGGTAACCAAACAGCCGCACGAACCGGAGACCACCCTGGAGCTTGTTAAGCCTAATTGCTACTTTGTAACAATTTTCACCTCAGTGTTCTAAGTGTTCGTCTGGGTGGCTGCAATTTCTATAGACTACCATGAGGTAGCGGCCATCTTGTTCGCATGAACGCAGGCAGCGGTGTTTGGGTATGAATCTAATGGAACTAAACACAGAAACTCCCGAACACCGCTGGACTTCCATTGTCGCCTGCGTTCGGTTCTACACAAGTTAGAAGGGCACTGTTTGGTTGCATTGTTCATCTGAACAAGGGGAACAAGCTCCAGGGTAAGACCATTGACTATGTTCCGTAGTTTGTTTGTTTTGTAAACTACCGAACTAGATCGACCGCTAGCCCTGATTCTAGGGAACTGTTTTGGGCATGGGACCATCCGTACGGTCAGTCAAACAAATGACTTCCAGGAAATTCCTGAACCCCTGAACTGATCTGAATAATTTTTGGATATGTTGGTCAGCCAGATCAGGGCTATCAGGGGATGTTACTTTTGTGGGGTTTTATGTATTTTTAGGGTACTTTTTTCTGTGCTTGGAGATAATTGGGTTAGATTAGTACAGTTCCTGATCCAATTATCTCCCAGGCACAGAGGAGGGATTATCTGATTTTGTATGGGAGTGTCCTGGACCTGAGAGCCAATGTAATTGTGTATCTGTTTCTACAGTGGTTTACTCTCAGGTCCAGGGGGGAGTGCCACTTGAATGGGGACATACATATAAGGCCAGTTGTGGCTGTCATTAAAGTATTCCAGCTTGTACTCCCAGAACTATGTGTCATCTGGTTACTGGGAAGGGAAAAGGCTAATCACTGTTCCAGTGTGGAGGATTCAACGTGGAAAGTCCTTGTAAGGACTAGAGCTCCCAGGACTGAGTGTTGTCCAGTGCCTTGAGTTGGATAGAGTGAGTTCCCCATTCGGCTCCAGGAGGCAGCCGTTCAGGACCGCAGTCAAGCCACGGCGACTGTGGGCAGAAGTGCTGCATTTTGTCCCCTGTTCCAGCTAGGAAGCGGTCCTTGATGGAGGTACCCAGCCAGGGGTACAGGGAGCTCCATTACATGCTCTCTGCTGCTTGAGGATACGTTTCATCATCTCCAAAGTGGAGTACCACAGTTTCACAATATCTTGGTGAAGACGTTGACGTGGCACACCTTCTTAAAGCTCCCTAGTCTTTTGACACACTACGGTGCTCTCAATCAGTTGAAATTGTATTTCTCACCTCCAGATGTAAAACACTGGCTACATGGCACAGACCAATAAAGCTTTCACCACATTGGCTCCCACGTCATTCACGCCCTTGTGTTCTGCTCTGCCTGCTGCCACTCCAACACATTTTTCTAGCATAGCTCAAAGTGTTGCCAGAATATCAGCTGAACTGCTGATCCATAACCTCAGCATGCAGCAGAAAACATTTGTACCCAGGCCCGGACTGGCCATCGGGCACACCGGGCAAATGACCGGTGGGCCGCGGTGGCCATGAGCCGAGGCCGGCAGGGAAGGTCAAAGGATCTCCCCTGCCGGTGTATATATAGGGCCGGCACTATCCAAGCGCCGGCCCCGCTGTTTTCCATTAAGGGCCGGTGAGGGAGATCAAAGGTCTCCCTCACCGGCCCACCTGAATGGACATGCGGCTGGGGAGGGAGGGAGAGGACCCGGCGGAGCTCTATCTTGCAGCACATGGGAAGATAGACTTGGCAGAGCATTTTCCAGGTTTTGGGAGGAATTCTGGAGTAAAACTAAGCGAAGAGAGCAGAGGCTTGCGGACACAGCCACTACCCGAGTCCCAAGGCAAAGCTGGATGGAGAATCTGCACCGGGTCCATGTAGTAGTGGACCTCACGGGCTATGAGCCCCCCAAAAATTTCCCCCGCAACACAGACCACGCAAATGGAAGGTCACAGCCAACAAGAGACAACAGAAAAGCTGGCCCACCAAGAGCACAAAAGTACACCAGCGCACACTGAAGCAGCATCCCTCCAGGCACAGCATGACAGATGTGGAGAATGGGAGAAGACAGGAGGCAGCACATGCAGCCACAGCCTTGCTGATGCCGCCATCAGCAAAGAGCCTGCACACTAAAGCTATGTGGGACTCTAATCTATCTGATCAGGGGATAGGCTGACTACCATGCTGAGACTCTGGATTGCATACTATATGCCAGTATGTAACCTTCAATAGAATGTTTCGTCAATTCTTCAGTCTTCTTTGGTTTACCCACTCTCTCTCACCTCTTCTCAGTTTTCTTTCCTTGTGCATACATGTGTTAGTGAGCAACAGCTGCCATTCTTACTCACCAAGCTATTACATATATGATCTATCTATTTTGCAGAGCTGTCTGGGATGA